GCGTTCACGCAGCTGATGTCGAGTGAGATCAATGCTACCAACTTACAGAAAATGCGACGTTGCACAGTGGCCCAATTCCAGAAAAACGCGGACAAAAATGAAAAAAGTGAAGTTCGGAATTTTGACCTTAGTACCCCGTAATCCCATATAAGGGACACCACTGCACCTCGGTGCAGACCGACAGTCAGTTATGCCGTCTGCATAACGTATGAGAGCAGGTCAAACTGAGTCAGCTGGCCACTGGTCTCGCTCGCATGTTCTCGTGGTTTGTTTGTAACTTTTGTTTAAACGTGTTTTTTTACAATCCAGTGTGATGGAAGGTGAAATTGAAAGTAAGTAATCATCATCCATACGTGGTTAATCGTTATTTAAATTTTTAAGGGGTGTAAATATTGAAGAGAAATATTGCGTTGTTTATTTATTTGTTTATAAAAAATAGTTGAGAGTTTGATCGAGTTGGATGGTCCGCCTTATTTTTTAACAAAATTTAGGGTATGAAGATTAATTGTTAAAAAGATTTACTTACCCCGAGGTACCCCTTCGTTTTTTACACCAATTTCCGTTATTTTTATCTCAATTAAAAAAACGATATGGTTTCATTTAACTCGATTTGAAATTGAAATAATCTATGTTTGGTTCAAAATTTGTATACTTAATTAATATTACAGGTTTATTATTAATTTTATTATTATTTTATAACAGCAAATTCCAGTTGTGTCTCATGCACCCGACAAGAAATATTTGATGCCATTCGCATGCAGCTTCTATCAGAATATGGCAAAAAAGTAAAAGAATTAGAAAATTATATATCACTGAAAACAAAGAGACCATTTCAATGTCACGCAGACGACAAGATGGCACTGAAAAACCTCTTCCACACTTTAAAAACTAAGTGGATCGAGTGCAACCGAACAGTCTCACGCTTTTATAATAAGAATAGTGAATGGCTTAAGGGAACAATACAACTGGTAACAATAATAAATGAAATTGTAATTTAAAATTGAAATAACTTAATGGTCAATAAAAAAATTATAAAGAATACAAGTAAAGATTTTGATTAATTTATTTTTAAGTACTGTTGTCCGGGTCCCGAGGAATTAAAAGTTTCGGAAGCATGTACGAGCAAAGATGATAAACCTTCTACAAGTTCGAAACCCAGAGGTCGACCTATCACAGATTTCGAGATGTTATCCGATCGATCAAAAAGGCGGAGGTCAAACCAGTTACTCAAAACGCACAGCACAGCGGAATTGGCTTTTGCAACGAGTATGAGTCTTCGTTCATCTGGAGCCGCCGATGCTGCCTCTATTGTCAAGGACGTCACGACTTTATCTATCCGAGGAAGCCCAAGAATCGCGAAATAAAGATATCAAGAAATACAGAGAAAATTATTCGCGAAAGCATTCTAGGGAAAGTACCATGAGAGACGTGTTTCAGTGGTTGCTTGTGTCTTCCGATCCGGTAATCTCAAGTTTGCGCATAACACCTCCGAAAAAAAGTGAAGCACTGTCATTCGAGGCCATACAGTTATTAAGTCCTTACGTGCACGGAACCGAGGAGTCTTCCACCTCGGATGTCAGTTCAAATACGACGGACGACTGTAGCGATTAAATTCGTATGTATTGTAATGTTTGTAAATAAATTGAAAGTTATTTTGGATCCGCCATTTTGAATTTTGAAAAAAATAATATCAAATTCATAATTAGCGACCTTGAAAACCCTTATATATCATTTTTTGTTTCAATCAAACTAATTTTAGATTTATGTCCGCGTTTTTCTGGAATTGGGCCACTGTGCGTTGTCGCGATCAAAATACTTTTTTATGAGAGCTATTGTATTTAATTTATTAATAAATGACGTAAATAAATAACGTAATATAATTTCATTAGTATTTTTAAATAGTAATTACTATGTTTTGTTACTTTTTAAAGATTTTCACACTTTCAGATTTTCGTTTGTGTCAGTTGCAAGTCAGGTACAGTCTTTCTAAAAATCATTAAAAGTGAAAGTTTGCATACGAGAAAATATGCCTAAAATTGTCTCTATAGCTCTTAAAAACACAGGCAACCGTTATTTTAATAAAATATTAATATAAATATTACTTTCCAGTAAAGAATATCTTCTTAACTATGTTAATTAGCTTTATGTTACGTTTCTTAAACTTTTGGCAGAGATCTTACGGGTCATACAACCTTAAGGTACGCTTAACTTGACTTGCTGTTGCCGCGAGCTTGTGTGTGTGAATATGTGATTTCCTACCTACAATGATGATAGAAGCTAGATATATATTTATATTTAATATTTTTATATCGAAGAAAGCTACATCTAAAATAGTTTACAATTTTCTGTAACAGCATTTTGCTATTCGATCATTAGAAAATAACTTTAAAAAATATATAATCTTTATTAAGAAGTACATCTGCTATGCGTTATGTATTTCTATTACGTTTCCATTAATTTAACATAGACTTTTATCGTACCTATAGCCAACTTACCCTACTATCGAGGCAAGCTGGCTACAATGCAGCATGTTCGTATTTCACTTATTGCAAAGAAACTATACGGTATTAAAGAATCGTTCCTGGTATGAAAATGTAGAGAAAGTTTCTCTCTATCATATTCGTACTGTTTAATCGTGATAATTAAATGTTTAAAAAATCAAATGCCGAAATTGTGAAAACTGTCAATGAGCCCCGATCTCCCACTGATGTGCACCAGTTCAGGAAGTTCTTCAAAATAAAACAAACATATAAACGTTCTTTCAATAGCCACGTTTTGCAACTGTTGGAAGTTTTCTAAGCTTGTGCAATAATTAGTGCAATATAAATTTAAATGTTTTAAAAAAGACAATTAAAGCTATTATATTTATATAAATAAAGCAAATTATAATTTTAAAAGAAAAAATGTAACAAATATTTTTGTTAACTGTAAACGTAAAAAATACGTTTTTTAAATCATTGTTTAAATCATAGTTTCAAAAACATTTTTATTCAAACGTTTCTTAATGATTATGAGACGGTTATGAAACTATAATATATTATACGTTCAAAAAACGTATATGAAACTAATATGTGCTACCTGGGGTGTTACTTAAAGAAAAAAAATAGGAATTTTTAAGATAGAGAGAAGGGAGCCTTTTAATTTTCAGGGTAGGAAGGGGTTTTTGGAGTTTTTCGGCTTTTTATCTTGAAATTTTTTTATCCGATTCTTTCTTTTTCTTTCAGCCGTTTTTCAGGAATGGTTCTTTGGTAAGGGACATTTAATTAGAAAACAACTGAAACTTCACTAAAAGTACTGCACCTTTTGTGTGATACGATAAAATCTTATCCTTTAATATTTTATATCTACCTAATTGAGAAATGCGCGAACGGGCAAACTGTCAAGACAATATACTCCAGCCGCCGAAGTAAATTAACTTCTCTCGTCGCGCGAGGAAGTAAATTGAATGCGCGCGCGCGCAAAGCACTGAAATACAAGTGCAACTCGGAGTTATAAATTCCCATCAAAAGAAAGTATTATGTCGCGATGGCAAGTGCGCAACGTGTCGCTGGAATTATTTCCGCCGCGCCGGTGCGCGTCGTAACTAACTACACTTCGCTGGTACGCTCGATCTAAACAACTTTCGCGAACGATTCAGGTCCTATATAACGTTCGGCTGGAACGTGACTCACAATTAGAAGCATCTCCTTATATCTATACTCCGCAGTTTTTCTGCGTAAAGTTTTGCCGATACGCCTGTGTCAATTGAACGTGGGTAGCATCACATGCGCGCCGAGAGATGAAAGGGCGAGTTCAGCGCGATTGGGAAAGCGCCTATCAAACTCAGCGAATTCCGATCTCTCCCCTTCGGAATTTTATCGGTCGGTTTTTTTTTACGCTCCATCGTGATGGTCCTTATACTTCTTATCGAGAAGCTTCCTGCCTACGTAACTACGGTCGACGATCCTAATTCCCGGCGCACGATTGCGGAATATTGATTCCTCCCGTACTATATGGTATTTTAATTCCGGACGGATAAGCCTTTGAGATCATCGGGTTTGTGATATCTATTTTCCAAATAACTGTTATTGTTTTAAATAACTCTTGCTAAATATTGTACAAATTTTTCTTTAACTTTTCTTTCAATTATATTATCCATTTTCAAGCAAATTAACAAAGTTTTTAAAGAAAAAATGTTACATTAAAATATATAGAATAGTAATAAGTGAAACAGAGGACCGTTATGATATACAATCAATTGAGGCTAAAAGGTACATATAGGCTTATGTATATAGCCTTTTTCCGTAAATTGTCTAAATTATATATAGAAGGGTAAAAACCACTTTTTAAAAATATTTGACTTACACTACTGTAGTTTTTATCCGTCCATATATATAACACATTATACCTGAGTCAATTTTTAGACGATTTACGAAAAAAGAGCACATGAGTGCCTATATGTGCCCTTTTTCCATCAATGGCCTCAATTAGATTAGAGAGAAAAACACCATTTAACTGGATTGGATCTTGGTAGTTTAATAATAATATTGTATAAATTTTGTATACTTTATTGTATACTTAATTATTGATTATCAATTTAAGTATGTAGATTTGCTGTTCCAATAAAGAGCTGTGTTTTAAAGACCTACAAAAAATCGGCGCACAGAGTGCGGCGTACTGATTCGAGTTTGGAAAAAGTATACAAAATTCACACAATATAAATTCACAAATATGTTTCGTATTTATTAGATTTCTGTTCTATAAAAAAACATTTGTTATCCGTGATAATCACATTGACGCATGTAAAAAGTTAGCACTTTGATAATAGAGGAGTTCAAATTTAAAAACTTTATAAATCCGTATTATGTTGTAATATTTTCTATTATTGCGACCACACACTCATCATATCGACAAAACGAAGTGGTGATTTAGCTCGATTCTTTCGTTACGTCACTTTTTTCCTATCGATATCACACGCGACAACAACCCAGAGAATCGCAGTGAGTTTTTGATTTTCCGTAAAACCTGCGGACTTTATTACGTACGATTCTTCGTCAACACAATTTGGCGGAGTAATAATGTCGGTCGCTGGGTTCGCAAAAAATTCTGGGCTTAAGTGTCATTTGTCACAGCCTGATGAAAAAAAGGAAAAAAAAGCAGATAGCCTAGTCAAATTAGATTATTTTTGGGCGTTTGAATGAAAAAATTGCCGGCAAGCTGGAAATTGGTATACAGGTTCATTTT